TTTTTTGTTATTTTACCAGGTTAGGCCCACTGAGCTACATGACTCTTTATTCTGAAGCGACCTGGCCAGAAGTGATAGGTCAACAAAGTGGCTCATCACGTGGACATTTATAGCAGCCAAATATTCTAAACACATGTCGCTTCTAAATGTGGAGTGGAAAACCGGAGGACCCAGAGATAAAAAATAAATACAAAGACGCACTCCCAGAGGGCCATGCGGCCAATGGGCTGCAGCCGTATTGTCTGCTTATACTGGTAGGAACGAAGTGGACCAGACCACCAATAGATTAATGTGTCCGTCCATCCGTCCGTCCGTCCGTCCGTGGGAGGGGTGGTGTTGAGGGTGGTGTTGGAAATGAAAGACTACGAGTCTTTAAATCGCACAGCGTTTCTTGTCAAAACAAACACTTTTAATTAACGTTACACTAGAATACAGTAATTTTTTTTTTTAACTCCTCTATACCCGGTCGATATCTCTGTACCGGTACTAAGTATTCTTCCTACCAGCCCACCCCGCAGGGTCCTGTTTTTATTTTGTTACAAGACAATGTGGTTTTATAAATCCAAAAAATGTGAAGTTTTTACATTCCGCCTTTTAGCGAGGGACCATACGATAATTTTCAAAGGCTATTTCAAATATCGTGCCGTGAGATAAGATAGCTTGAGATAGATAGCAATAGCACAAGAAATAAACAGAATAGAATTTAAAGCAAGCAGATGTGTTCCTTCGAAGACGGGAGGAATAGGCTGGCGAGGTCAAGCAGAGTGGATCGCGAGGAAAGAGGACATCTGGAGAGAAGGGCGGATGAAAAAAACTCATTTGGCAGCGGTGTCTTAGAGAGACGGTGAAAAGGAGTATACGTCAAAGGGAGAGGCCAAAACACGAGGTTGCCTCTCAGAAGCAGAGCTTGAATGTGAAGAAGATCCAGCCAGAAAAAATATACTATCAAGTTTCTTCATCCATCTTGGCGATGTGCGTACGCGGAGATAATTATAAGGATAATAAATCCAGCACGAATGTTTGTGCCCGACACAAATAGACTGCTCCTGATAGAGTGCAGCTTCACAGCCAGCCTTGAGTTATCTTGTCTCACGATTCAATGAGATGGGTGACTTATGGTTCCAGCTCCTGCTGTGTGTAGAGTGTATCGCTCACATGATAGGCTCTGTACGAAGAGTGGTGCGCTAATCCGGGGGTTCAATCATTTATTTCCTAACTAATGCTCGTGAACCATTCATCTGCCAGTTTTAGAGTCTGGGTCAATAGTTCCTCGAGTCGATTATTCGGCTGTGAAACTGGCTCAGTGACACAGAAGTTGACCTTTATAAAATATTTTCCAAGTTTGTCAAGGTTTAAGAATCTTTCCCTAATGTTTCAACCTGCCGCAGCTGGGAGATCGAATGGAACCGGTGACCTCTGGATTGCACATCCACCGTGCTACCCGTAACGCCACCGTGTGACACTGGCCTCACACAACATCTGAATCTGGTTCTGGAGCAGCCAGAGGCGGGGCTAATGACGTCAGGGGGCACCATGGTGGTGAGATGTTCACGAACATCGACTAGTATGCAGGAGAGCATGCGTTCGATCCCGACCCTGACACCTGCATATTTGGAGTTTGCGTGTCTCTCTCCCCATGCTCGCAGTGTTTTTTTCTCGGGGTCCTCCGATTTTTCCCTCCAGATTTAGAATCAACGTGCGTTTATAGAGTATTTGGCTACTGTAGATTTCCCCGTGATAAGCCACTTCATTGAGCTATAATTTTTGATAGTCAGGTCGCTTCTGAAAAAGAGCTACAGTATATAGTTTAGTAGGCCTTACCTGGTAAAATAAAGAAAAGTTCAGTCGATAGCCAATTACATTTGTCCCTTGCACTATGACGTAAGCGACATAGCCATGTCACGGCACGACTTCTACAGCCAAAAGAACAACCCTGGCTCCTTCTGAGCCACGCTGGGCTTGCTAAACAAGTGCCCGGCACGGCTCGGTTTTGCCAGTGGAAAGGAATTAACAGAGAGAAGCTGGGATCACCCCCACGGCTTTGACGAGAACACATTTCCCAGCATCATTAGCTCCAGCATGATGGATTCTGGGCTTGGTGCGGTTTGTGTTCACAGCTGTTAACCTCGTCAACCTCGCCAGCCTCTCAGACCTTCACGGGGAACTCCAACCGTGGCCGCGTGCGTACGGGCTGCGCAGAGTGAAACTACGCGAGCTGCGGAACGGTAGCACAGAAGTTCCGGGCCGCGGTTCTCTGTCGGCAACCTCAAACAACTTGGCGAGGCAGTGGGGGCTTTGGATGGAGAGTTCTGCTCCCTGTGTTGATGGTCCAGGATTGACCGGAACGGAGAGAAGTTCTTCAAACGAGGATGAGTCGTCCTCTTGTTCACTCTCTACGCGTTCCGTTGGGTGATGACAGTTCAAATTTTTAATTGAAAATAAAACTTGGTGATGCTGCCAGTATGTAATTAAAATATATATTATACCAAGTAACGCCCACTGAGCTATATAGCTATTTTTCAGAAGCGACCTGGCCACAAATGACAGCTCAATGAAGTGACCTATCACGTGGTACTGTGCAGCAGCCAAATACTCGATTCGTGCGTTTCTAGATGTGGAGGGAAAAACCGGAGGACCCGGAGAAAAATCCGCGCGACCACGGGGAGAGAGACACGCAAACTCCAAATATACAGCAGCAGCAGGCGTCAGGGTCGCCATCTTGGCACCACGGCACCGTAATGGTTGGCATGCTATTGTAATTGCAATCCAGATGTCGGTCGCTGGTTCGATCTCCCGGAGGGGCGGATGACGTAATGTGCAAGATTCTTAAAACCCCACCGCCCCTGATGATCCACAAAGCTCTGTTCCACAGGTGTCCGGCGGGTGTCCAGCAAAGGGGGACAGCGCGATGGTGCGGCGACGTCACGACGGGCCAGCGGCCTCTCGGAATCGATGATTCCGTTGAGCGAGGAAGCCACAAGGAAGGCATCGTTCGGGGTGAACCGGAGCAACGCCACCCGAAGCTGCTACTCTGCAGGTCCCAAGACCGCACCCGTTGCTGGGGGTAACGCGCGCCTCCTGAAGGTCATCCCCACGATGAGATCGGTCACGGGGACATTCACGTATCTGTGTGTCGGACCTCTTTCAGCCAACCGTGCGGGGGAAGGGCATCAAAACTAAACGCAAAAAGCAGTTATAAAATAAATGAGTTTTCAATTGAAATTAATAGTGCACAGCTTCGGTGGTTTCCTTCATATTGAAAGGAAGAGGGTTCCAGATGGCCGCAGAAGCGCATCTGAAAGCGCACGATGCCCTACTCGTCTTTATTCGATGGCTAGAAGTAGTAAAAGTCGCTCCACACTCGACATTTTTATCTTCCAAGCCAAGCTTTTGTGCCTCCTGTGCGCGCAGCTGAAAGAGTGAGCACCTTGAAGCAAACAGCGCGGGTAGCGATGATATCTCCTTTCGACCAATGACATTGTGGCAGAGTTAACCTCGACAAAACGGGCTTTGATAATTAAAAATTAAACCTGCGTAGGTGCTCCGTGAAGATCGTACAAATCTCGCCGTCGACAGGAAGATTAGATAGCGGCTTCAGGACCTCTCCCCGCCTCCCAGTAACTCGAGCGATGCGGTTGGCTTCGGAACAAGGTCGAGAATCTTCCCTTTGTAGGTGAGGGTGAGCCCGCCGCCCTGGAACTATTTTTGCTCGCTTTAGTGGCGCCCGCCCCCCCCCCCCCCCCCCTCCCCGTAGCGCGTGGGCCCAGAGATGTGAAGTGGACACGGGGAAAATAAGTCTCCAGTAAAGAAAAAAAACAGCCTTCTCTTGCGCACGTATTATTTATTCAAACTGTTGTGCAGATGTACGCTTCGCTGGATTTCGAGACTTGGCTGAAGTGAACACCCACTGGGGTCTATGATTCTGCGATGTGCAATGCAGATGGGGGAGAATGAATGTACGAGACTCACAAACACATAGGAGACTCGCAGACAGAGGGACAGACACAGGGGTGAGAGAGAGAGCGAGAGAAAGGAACAAATTAAGATGCAGCTGAGAAACATGTGCAGGACAAGAGCGGCCGAGTGTGAGACAGAATCGTTCATTGTTGCGGATTATTTAGGAGGTAAAATAAAAACGGACAGCAAATGTTCAAAATGCTTCTTCTGAAATCTTTATTAAATGCGCTCACAGCATCTGGCCGGTTGGCTCAGCGGTTGAGCGAGCGGCTTCGCGATCGTGAAGTTGCGAGTTTAAAATCCTGGCTAAGGGGGGGGGGGGGGGGGGGGAAGGTGGTCAACTCAGCCTATTATCCTTGCGAGGGTTGATAAAATGAGGATCACATCGTGGGGAAGACAAACGGTAAATTACAAATCTAAACTATTTTAATTTTTACCAGGTAAGGCCCACTGAGCCCTGTAGCTCTTTTTCAGAAGCAATCTGGCAACAAAAGATTGCTCAACGAAGTCGCTTGTCGCGTGAAAAACGAATGGCAGTCAAAATAATATGAGCGTACCTTTCTGAATGTGGAGGGAAAAACGGGAGGACTCGGAAAAAAATCCACGCGACCACGGGGAGAACACGCAAACTCCAAAAATACAGGCATCAGGATCGGGATCGAACCCACGACCTCCTGCATACCAGGCGAGGGAGTTAACATCTCGCCAACCCGGTGCCCCGGTGGCTGTCCTACGCATAAATTTACCTCGAGCCATCGGGACTGGAGGCAGTAAAACAGGAGGTGACCGCCGACTGAATCAATGCTCATTTGTGAAATAAGTCACTTTGGGGATGCCTAGATGTTCCTGATGCCAGTCAGGCTGGTGAGGACAGCTGAGGCAACTTGTTATTCTTCGTTGGATGCCACGACTCTCGTCTCTCTCCACATTCGTCTGTCCCTGGGGGCGGATCTTCGTAACGGTGTGAACATTTTCAATAAACATCAAACAAACTCACAAGCAGGAGGACCTGCGGTGCCGCCCCCCCCCCCCATGCCCCGTACCTTCTTGTGGTTCTTGTAGACGTTGCGGTGCGCGAACCCCTTGCCACAGAGCTTGCAGGTGTAGGGCTTGTCGACGCTGTGGATCACCTTGTGCGACGCCACCTGGTCCAGCCGCTTGAACGACTTGCCGCACACCTCGCAGCTGAACGGCCGCTTCTCTGTCCACCACACGGGATCGCGCAACTCACGGTTAACGCGGCCACAAGAGCGTCGCGGTTAACGTGTTCATGAGAGCGCCGTGCTCACGTGACCACGGTTAATAACGGCCGCGCGGGTAACGTGGACAATATATCGACATTCACACGGAGCAAATGGCAGTCATATCCAATCACGCTCATTTGTTGCCGTAGAGTTAAACTTGTGCTTGTAACTACAAACAACACTGTGAGACTACCCAGTAAACAGCCAAAGTTGGGCCAATGTTGCCAAGCGGTTGTGACCGTTGGACCAACGTTGACCCAACGTTCCATGTTTACTGGGTATATGGTTTCATAGTCTAAAAAGTCAAAGTGATTTCCCTGCTCGCCTCCCACAGCAGTGGAGATTCCACGTTCATCTGGTAGGACAACCAATGTCGACTCCCCCTCACAGTGGTGCCTCACTTCAACAACACCAGAGGGATGATGGGCCGACTCAACTCCCGACCAAAATTGTAACTGAAAAACCCCACGAGTGGTACCCCGCTTGTTCTACCTACCTACCGACCCAAGTTAAGCGGTGGCACAGCTCCCACCCTCGACGAGACCCCTCGGCGAGTTCCAAATATAGAACGTGACGGATCGTTCGAAAACGCGTGCTCGGTTCTTGTGAGTAACGCGTGCGGTCGTTGAAAAGGTGAAAAAAAATAAACCCACCCGCCCGGACGCAGACATACACAAAACTGTCAAGCACGAAGGGGCCGTTTAACCCACCGTTCCATTTGTTGCCAGAGCAATCAGGGGGAATCTAAAGCACCGCTGATGAAGCATCGTAAAACATGTCACGTGTGCAGGGGAAGAGGGTCGGGATTTAGTCCTGTTAAACATCTGCATTCGAAGAGCCCGGCCAGGGCAGAGAGCGATGTCTAAGGAAACACAAGGCGATGGTGGTGACTCGGGTAACAAAAAGTAATCTTTGGTTTTATCGTTTACAAAATACAGAGGTAATAAAAACGGCAAGGAAATAATTTTGTAGATGCACAAACACTATCAATAACAAAAACTCAACCACATTCGTCAATAACGCTGTGCTGCCTTAAAAGGAATATAGAAATAAAATAGACAAAGTTCCAGGCAATGGCCCTCTTTTTAAAAGCATTTTCTTCAGGTGTTATGCCGAAAAGTCACCGATTTGATATATTGTTTTTCCTGTGAAGGCACCACAGTGTTGTCATTTACGATTGTGCGCTGAGTTTGTGTGAAACGTGGTGAAGGTGGAGCCCTGCAAATCGCCTTATCACGCCACTGCTGGCAGCAGAAGGGCCTCCACCACAGAGACCTCCAACAGAGCCCTTCTGGAAGAGGAGGGGGAGTAACCCCACACTTTACCCCACCGCACGCAGGCACTCAACTTGCCCATCAGCTAACTGTGGTGGAATCCGTTCACACTGCCGGGTGGAAATGGGTGGTGGTGGTGGCGGGTGAGTGGGGATTTTAGGAACTTGCTCCAATGTTTCAACTGCACGTGCCGGGAGATGGAATCGAACCGGCTGGATGGCAAGTCCGGTGTGTTGACCATCACACCACTGTGGCAGCGTGCGATGATTGAATGCATGTGTAGATGTTGAACTTCTTTCGCACCGTACGTAGCCAACCGTGCTCATCAGAGGTGTGCGGGGGGAAGGACAACAGAACTAAGCGAATACGTAGACAAAAGCACACACACACATAGACACATAGACACACATACACAGACTCACAGTGTATATCTAAATCCTAAAATATGCTCTAAAAAGTAGGTTCTTGACTAACTGCAGAAACATCGCAAAGTAAGCAAATCACTGCACCTGTTATAGCAACGCAACGGTACAGATGACACAAAAACAGCCCGAAATATTACATCTGTGAAAATGTCAACGTGGTTTAAAATCTAAGAGGAACCATCAAACTCAAGGAGGTGAATGACCTCACGACCTTTAGGTTCCACGCTGCGTTGCCCTTTGACAACAACAATAACAAAATAAACATCAAGACCTGTTTTGGTTGGGGGGGGGGTCGGCCCTCACAACCAGAGCTGGCTCTGTGCATAAAAAACTAAAGATGAAGAAACGTGGGCCCAGCGGGCCGGCCTGTTTATGACGCTGCGGGTTCACGTGGGGCAAGGTTACGCCGACGCACGCCGTCCTGCTAACGAGCTCGAGAAAAGGAGGTTTTTTGAAATATCTTTTTTTTTTTACTAAGGTCCAGTGAGCTGTGTAGCTCTGGCTACCACAAATAATAGCTCAACGAAGTGGCTCATCACGTGGACATTTATAGCGGCCAAATACTCTAAACGCGTGTTGTTGACTCTAAATGTGAAGGGAAAACCCGGAGGACCCAGAAAAGAATCCACGTGACCACTGGGGAGAGAGAGAGAGACACTGCAAACTCCAAATATACAGCAGGTGACAGGGTCAGGGGTCGAACCCACATCCTCCTGTATACCGGGCGAGGTAGTCAACATCTCACTGCCACGGCGCCCCCAGGCAAAGGAGCAGCCCCGCAATCCCTTGCTCATGCCAACCTGGCGATCGACTTCACTGTGGAGTGCTTCCAGCTTGTAGAGCTATCTCTGAGCTACTCCTAAATCGCTCATTGAGAAGAAAACTCTAGTTAACATCACGTTAATATTACTCTGGTGAAACAACGTGCAGACTACATTCAGATGCCACCCCGGATGCCGTGGAATGTCTCAGAACCTTAAAGTACAAATTTTAAACGTCATACGAATGAAGAAGGGGTCAAACTAAAATGCAATAACAGTACTGGATTTATACAGGAGCAGCCTGGACAGGTGTGTGACTATCAGCTGTTGTGTATAGCAAAGAGGAAGCTCAATTTGTGGCTAAATATATTAATAATGTAAACTAGCTGGACACAGATGGAGCACGTCAGTGTGTATACAAGCCTACATGCCACGTGCAAGCTCGGCTATCTGTGTGTACACATCGTGAATTGTGGCTGTTGCAACTGCGCATGTGTTTATGTATTTCTATTTGGATGTGTGTGTGTGTACACACTTGTAAGTGTGTGTACACGCTTGTGTGTGTGTGTACACGGGAACAGTAGTGTAGCAACTTGCAGCGCTGCACTACGATCCTGGCGACCCGAGTTCGATTCCTGCTCATGGCCAATACCGGTGATGATTATCTGAACCAGTCCTGGGCCTTCCTACGTCGACTCAGCCTCAAATGAGTACCTGGTCCGGTGTGTAAACATCGCCACTCGGAGAGACAAAGGCGGCTAGGCGTGGTGCTGGTCACCCACCCTCGCATGTGCTGTGCAGGCTTCATAGGTGCTACTCGCTAACAGCCCTTTCCCCAACAAGGGACCTTCGTCCAATACACATGTGCTTGCATGCAAAACGAATAAATGACTAATACCCTAATAGATGTTTTTGGCACGTGCATGTGCATGACAGCTGTGGTATAAATTCGGGGAGTGTTGCTGCTTGTAAATATTTTCTAAGTAAATATTTAGGTTTGTTTTTTACATTTCGCATATGGCCCCATGTGCCTTGCGTGCCATGCGAGCGAGGATGTGACCCCCGTCTCATCTCATCACACGCCACAATCGCGACCGTTTCCAATAGATCATCGCAAATGATGAAGCAACGTGTCACGCATCGTGACAGCCACTCAAATGGCGCATAGCATCATATTGAGCGATGCTATTGCTGCTGCTGAGTTGGCAGTGGTGCACAAGCAAAATTAACAACAACAACAACAAACTTAACACAATCAACAACAACACGAGAAGCCATCCAGAGAGCTCATCTCTGGCCTCTCTCTGTGTGTTGTGAACAAGGCCACTGCCTGAAACGTCACATCGCTATGCACCTTTTTTTTCTTTTAAAGCCATTGACAAATGTGTTTTTGGTCATGAGTGGGAATTGGACTAGGGTCTACGGTTTCGTAGCACAGCATGCTAACCACAGTACGGCCGCTCCCCTAGTACGAAAGCAAAGACAAAGATCCCCTGTATAGCCTTAACATACTGTTGGGGCAAGTGCTGTTAGCAAGCACCTATGAAGGCTGGAACGGGAGGGGGTGGGTGGCCAGCATCACGCCCGACCGCCTTTGTCTCCTCAGTGGCGATGTTTACACACCTGCACCAGGTACTCATTTGAGGCTGAGTCGACCTAGGCGAGGAGGCCCAGGACAGGTTCAGATAATCTTCACTGGTGTTGGCCGTGAGCGGGAATCGAACTTGGGTCGTCAGGTTCATAACGAAACGCGCTAATCGCTCCACTACCGCTCCCCTAATACACATACACACACGCGCATTTCAGAACCATCTGGAAACATAATAACTGTCAGATGATGAAATGCCAATGAAAACCATAACATTAATTTACAGTTCTCTGTCAATCCACTGCCGTATGAAGGCCTCCCCACTTTATCAGAATGGCCGTGATTTAAGCTTTGCTTCACTTAGAACTCTGAAGTCACGCAAGAAAAATAATTGCTTCACGTAAAGCTGCAGCGTGGCGTCCACTCAATAGGATTTGCGGAGGGTTGCGTGAGTTATAGATTTGCAAGCACACAAAAAGTAAGGAATCGGCATGGGCAGGCACTAGGGTTGCCAGATGTCCTGGTTTTTCCTAGGATCGTCCTCTTGTTGACGTAGCTGCCCTGGGAAAACTGAAGGTCTTCTCGGGACATACAAAAATATATATTCCCGGTTTTTGTCAAATGTCAGGTTCGTACTTTTTTGTTATCCAATGCAATGTTTGCACCTAGATGGGCAGTAACAATAATAATTGTAACAATGAACACAATTTATAACGCTTGCATATTTCACGGGTCGGATATAACGTTCGGTCGAGAACTCGGAGGCTGCTGAATGAAAACTCATTTCTTTAAAACTCCTTTTTGTGTTTGGTTTGTTGTCCTTCCCCAGCACATCCGAGAACCCGGGTTGGCTACTTACGGTGCGCAAGAAGTTGAATATACACACATACAAATATACATGAATAATAATAACAATACACCACTCAAGACAACGCGCTTAGTTGTAGCTCTCTCCACTTTCCATGCTCTGTTGTTGTTCTACGTTGTTAAAGGTGACATCCCCGGCAAGGTAACCACGTGGGAGAACCCACTCCTAGGCTGGCTGCATTGGGACGATGCCTTTGCAATGGGGGGTGGCGGCGAGGCTTAAGGCACACAAAACGCTCACTGCTCACATAGCTCACTTTAAAAGGTGGCCCAGCATTGAGCAGGCGAGCAAGTTCAAGATGGAGAGATACGCTGCCCTCAATGAACCTGAGGGCCACGAGGGGGAGGGGGGGAATTGAGAGAAAGAGTTCCTTTAAAACGCTTTCCACTCCTGCAAGTGTCGTCTGCGCGCTCTTAGCTATTGAGTTACCCAGCGTTCAAGAATTGCTTTAAAAAAAATACTTCACACGAAGCACGACTTCCATTCGGCCCTCTAGAATTCTTACCGCCCAGTCTAAGCTAACTGATCCGGACTGGGTAACCTTTAAATACACTAAAGATGTTATACTTAGTTCCACGATGTCAGGTCAAATGAAGCCAAACCCTCATGAAATATACAAAAATTACTATAAATTACCTTCATAAACCCTCAGCACAAATATTAAACAATGGAGAGAGAGAGAACACGGCATTAGATTGTGCATTATTATTTTTTTCCCCGAGTCTGACAGGGCTAAACATTGACAAAAATTACTGTTACCTTGCCCCAGGAATTTGGCACCATTACTTTCACGTGGTGTAAAGTCTGAACCTGTGTCGTTGAAATGTTTTGTTTGGTCAACGCCAATTTGACGTGAACCGTACTTAGAACTCTGCAAACAGGCGACGCTTTCAGTGCGAAAATCCAAAGAAAACACGAAATTCCCCCCACCCAAAAAAAAGTACACCTTGTAAGTGCACGGGTTTCAAAAGGTTACTTTGCTGGGTCTAAATGCTTCTTCCGAGGCATTTTAGTTTGAAGTCGACCCAACAGAGGCTCTGTCACATACCTGAGTGCGTGATCATGTGCCGACGCAGTTGATTGGCCGAAATGAACTTTTTGTCGCAATCTTGGCAGTCGAAAATCTCATGGACCTAAAAAGTTAGCAACGGGGAGGCGGGGGGGGAGGAGAAGAACAAAATGAATTGGCGAATAAATATTCAAGAAGGAAGAAAAAACCAAACAGATGCAAGATCATTTTGTCGGTGACTTGTGTTTAGAATTCCAACGTGTCAAATCCAGAGAAGAGGCTCAACAGACCTGACCAGAGCAGATACTGTGACTTCTCGGGATGGAACCTGACAAGTGGAAAATGTTCCTGGAATTTCCACTCGTTTTCACGTCGGCAAAATTATCCCTGCATAAATACTGAGCTCACGTAATTTAAACTATTAAACTATTTGTTATTTTTCCAGGTACGGCCCACTGAGCTGTATAGTTCTTTTTTTCTGTCCACAAATGATAAGCTCAACGAAGTGGCTTATCGTCACGTGGGCATTTATAGGAGCCAAATACCCTGAAGGCATGTCGATTCTAAATGTGGAGGGAAAAACCGGAGGACTCAGGGAAAAATCCACGTGACCACGGGGAGAGAGAGACATGCAAACTCCAAATATACAGCAGGCATCAGGGTCAGCATCGAACCCACAACCTCCTGTATACCATGCGAGGTAGTTAACATCTCGCCGCCATGCCGCGCCAAGAGGTTGAATCGAATCGACGACCTCTGAATTGCAAGTCCAGCATGCAAACCATTACACCACTGTGGCAGCATCCGCTGTATTGAGGTGCATTCCCATGAATCAGCACTGGGGCAACACACACGACGTATATATGTCAAATGAATCCATTACCTTCCTGTGCTCCGTAAGAATATCTGCAGAGGAAAACTTCTTGTTGCAGATGTTGCAGGCCGGTCTCTTGCGAGAGCTCCCTGCGGAAACAACACAGCGCACAATCAGTCACCAGCATGTGCCCACCTCTCCCCAACCAGTAAACATACGTGGGGCATGCATGCGTGTACGTACAGACATGCCCCACGCCTCCAATTCCCCGGATCATTCGTTCTTCACGAGATATCTTGAAGGAGGGGCCGTCAGATATGCACCCATCCTATGAGCGCTTGTAAAGGCCGGCTCGGCCCAAAAGAAACGGATTGATACGTTGCGCCGGGGGGCTCGCGCTCAGATGGGGCTCTCAGAAGTTGAAAATCCTTTCCGTGCCACATGACGGCCCCCGATGGCTCGGGAGAAAACTTCACAACAATTCCGAAGCCCGTCTGTTTTCAGTTTTTTGTTGTTGTTCATTCTCCTCCTCCTCCTTGTTTTCCCTTTATTATTTTATTGGCTGAAATGGTTCGGCGAGCAATTTGCGCGTCGGAAAGCGTTAACGGCCAGGCGCGGGCCCCGCGTCCCCCGCGCGTTACAAACCCACATCCCACGTGCCCCCTCCCCTCCCCCGGTCCCCCCCCCGTCCCTCCCAGACCCCCCCCCCCAAAGTCTACCAAGTACCACGCCCCCCCCCCCACTTCACTCTCGGAGGAAAATCAAAAACAGGTGGCGTCGGCATAAATAATTTGGCACACATATAGAATAATTGGGCGGTTAATAAATGAGCGACATAAACATTTCTGAAGCACGCCCTTGTTCGTGAAATGAACCCGGCTTTAATGTTTGTTAATAATGGGGTTTGATCGCGCGAGTTAGGCCCTTCTGCGATATGAAAGGAACAGAATGGTTACACGCCGTGTAAGTGCCATCGCTGGTGCGCGCGCTGACCTGTGTAAAAGTCGCGCTTGTACCGGATGCAAGCGCCGCTATCGCACCATCGCGGCGTTGCGAGTGGACACGCAGGAATGATGCGCTGAGAGCACAGCTCAGCGGCTGAGCGAGCGGCTCGCAACCGGAGGATGATGAGTTCAAATACTGATTCGGGGGGTTGGCTGAGCCCATCATCATTATCATCATCGTCCCTCCGGGGTTGATAAAAGAAACGACCACTTTGTGGGGAAGTCAACAATGGTTGCCCTATAGGTAGACTCACCACCCCATTGTAGGGATGCGCAATGTCCACCACTGGCTCAGGGCTGTAACCGGGAGATGAGTACCCATGGCTCAATGCCGAATTTAATTCACTCTGACTTTTGACAATTCCTGGCTGCCTCTTACATTTCCCTTCATCTGCTGATTCAGGAGCTTTCAAACTCCTCCACCTTCATTTTCCCATATCAGGAGACCTCCCATGCTCTAATTATACCAATGCTCTAATGATTTTGGATGTTCAACAGTGATTTGGCATGATAGTGGTTGCTTATTGGCAGCTCTATTAATACATTTATTTATTTATTCAGCTGTGTTTGAACAGGAATAGCGGTTTAACAAAATCTAAAGGATACTTTTTCGTGTAAGTTCATCCTTAACTTCCCTTTTAAAACCCTTTACCACCGGCATCACTTAAATGAAACGAAACAAAAGCACATTCTTTGGTAAGCGGCGAGCACTTTCCCCTGGAGGAAAGGTCCTCAACCCTTTGGCGAGGACACGGCTGGACGGATGTCTGTAACGATGGACCTCAAAAGGGAATGATCAAGCGCTTGCGTTTTCGGCAATGTTCTGAAAGTCAGCAGAGGCAGCAGATTGGAAAATAAAATTACGTCGCATTTGCGGTTGATGCGAGGCCCTGTACCCGTTCTGCTTCTCGTTAAGCCGCGTCACGCTGATGTGGGGCGCCGTGGTATGTGTGTGTACGTATGTATGGGATAAGGATGTGTGTAGGTTTGTTGAACTTCTCACGCAACTGCTGGCAGAAGGGCCTCCACCACAGGGAGCTCCAACAGAGACATTCTGGACACCTTCAACCACCTCTTCTTCCACGATGGCCGGACGTCTTGGAAGAGGTGGGGGAGCAGCCACCATTTACCCCACCGCACGCACGCACACAACTTGATGATCAGCTAACTGTGGTGGAATCCGTTTACACTGTTGGGTGTAAATGGGTGGTGGTGGTGGTGGGAGGAGGGGATTTTAGAAATTTGCCTGAATGTTTCAACGGCCGCGCAGGGATATGAAATCGAACCGGCTGGAAAGCAAGTCCCGTGTGTTGACTATTACACCTACTGTGGCAGCGTGCGATGTTTGTGTGTTGAACTTCTTTGGTACCGTGCGTTGCCAAAGGTGTGAGACGTTACCTCCCTCACCTGATATACAGGCGGTTGGAGGTTCGGTCCCGACCCAGATGCCTGTATATTGCGAGTTTGCATGTCTCTCTTCCCGTGGTCGTGTGGATTTTTCTCCGGGTCCTCTGTTTTTTTCCCTCCACATTTGGAATGAACGCGCGTTAAGAGTATTTGGCTGCTATATATTTCCACGCGATAAGCCACTTCGTTGGGCTATCATTCATGATAGCCATAGCCAGGTCACTGTGAAAAAGAGCTATAGAGGTCAGTGGGCCCTACCAGGTAAAATAATAAATAGTTTAGTTTAGATTAGGCAAGCGGAGAGGAACGTACGCGGACCGCGTAGGTTCTCGCGATCGTGGTATACATCTTCCTGACACGCTTTCTGGAGATTCCGTTTGACGTTTTCGCTCCACGTGCTGAGAAGATTCCGTCAGGCGGAGAGAAATGTCGGGACTTGGTGCCCAAAGGCACATATAATAGCAATAATTCCAATACCAATGCTTTATGATTCTAAGAGCAGGATTTTTTTCCCCGGCACATTAAGCGCAGAACCAAAATTAATGTGATCAGGGTTTTTTTTGGGTTTTGTAACCGGGGCTGACAACATCAACTCACTGCACCCGCGAAGCCTGCTTGAATCACCAGTAGCTGCCTGGATCCGGCCCGAGGACATCAGTGGTACATGCTCTGACCTCTAACCTCTGACCTCTGAGTCACCTAGCCACCTCTTGGCGATGTGTTTTCATATTTAATAATTGTGGGTGAGTAAAGAAATGAAGTCTATTACTTTTCTAAACACCTTCAATGCACTGGAGAAAACACAAAAATATTCCAAATAGATGCCATCTGACTAAATCCCTGACTTATCCTCATCCTGTCATCCCTATATAAGGATTACCAGTGCCCTTTTAAAAACCTTTCCATGAACAATAAAATGTTGGCGACCCCCCAGAAAAAAATTCCTATTTAATCCCACTTATCTCGTGCTCCGCTGATCTCAACCGTTATCTGTCTGAAACCCGCTTAGCAAATATCACACTCTATCTGAATCACATTTTCATCACAATTCTCGTTTATACGACTGCCTAAACAGATTCAGCGCTAATACTCTGTTACAAATGGGTTATTATGATTAAACCTCAATTAAATTTACTAAAACGGCGAGTAGCGCTGTACGCACGGAAACCTTATATTCATTTCAGCATCTATAATTTTCCTTTCAAAACTAAAGAATGTGCATAGCAACATACACCCTTTGCAAAACCCCCAAAAACTCATTCGATACTAAACCAGGATGCTGCCGCAGCGGTGTGTCTGTCGGACACACTGGACTTGCAATACAGAAGTCGCCAGTCCGATTCAATTTGGGGCACCTGCTGCGGCAAGATGTTAGCGACTGTCGACTGGTATACAGGAGGTCGTGGGTTCGATCCCCACCCTGACGCCTGCTGATGTATACTTGGAGTTTGTTTGTTCTCTCTCCCCGTGGTCGTGGGCATTTTTCTCCGGGTCCTCCCGTTTTTTCCGTCCACATTTAGAAGGCGCGGTGTTGTGCGGTGAAGTGCAGTGCAGTGCGGTGGTGCAGCACGGTGCAGTGCGACGATGCGACGCCTCACCCAGGTGCACGTTCTGCTTGTGCTTCTTGAGCGCGTCCTTGCTTTTGAAGCGCTTCCCGCAGCGCTCGGCCTTACACACGAAGCGCGCATCCCTCCGGCACGCCTCCCTGTGCTGCTCCAAGCTGTATGGGGTGGGGGGTGGGAGAGGGGGGGGATGGTGGACAGGCAGAGAAGAGATTAAAATGTATTTATCTGGAGACTTAGCGCAACGCTGCTAAAAGCTATGGAGAGCTCTTTGGAAATGTAATTTCTTGTTGTCTATACGCAAACACATTTCAAGATTCATACAACATGAAACAAACAAAAAAACGCTTTCTGGGCTGGACTTCTGCCTGGGTTCCTGCCTGGATTCCTGGCTGGCATACGCCCAAGTGCCATTGCGCTGTGGTGACGTCGCCACGTACATCTGAGTGATGACATCATCCCGCAACCCACTGTCATGCATTCCCCTCCCCCCCAAGCAAATTACAATGGAGAAAGAGATAGAGCAGAGAGGTGAGGGGAGGGAGATAGCGGAGGAAGATTGAGGAGGGAGGAAGAGACGGAGAGGAATGGGGCGGGGAGAGAGTGGAAGGACGTGAAATGGAGAGGGGAGAGAGAGGAAAGTGACAGACAGTGGGAGGGACGATAAGGGAGATGCAAGAGAGATTGAGGTGAGAAAGGGAGAGGTGGGAATGAGGAGAGCGAGCGTGGGAAATGAGAGAGAAACAGGGATGGAGATCGGAGAGAAGTGAGAGAGATACGGTGGAGGCAAGAGAGGATTATAGAGGGATGGAGAGGTCGCAGAGGCGACAGAGGAAGAGATAAACAGCTGGTAACAGAGACAACGTGAGCAATCGAGATCAATTGGTATTTACAGCGCAGAAAAGGCAATGGAAAGGTGGAGAGAGAGAGAGAGGGCTCTAGACGTTTTCCTGGCTGGCTGGCTGAGAGGGACGGACGGATGGTGACATCCCAAGGACTTGCAGGATGTTCGTTTGTCTTTAAAATTGTTTTAGAGTTTGTGTAATTGTTGCATCTGTGTCATTGTTAGACCTCTGGATTAACACGGTTGGCTAAAAGAAGTTCAAGATACACATCTACATAGGGTAATCGCCTATATAATAAAGAGAATACGGCATCTAATTGTTACGCCATTCATGTTTGTCCGGACAACTTCTGCTCGACTACTCTGCCAATTTCAAAGATCGCAGGCACTTGCGAACTTGTGATGTCTTTTGACCGGATCTTCTTATTTCGTATGGTATTTTTAAAAAAGCCACAAGCTACAACTGCCTTGTTCATGTTGTGCGCCATTCCACGGCATCCGGAGTAGCTGAGTGGAGTCCGCTGGTTCCACCAGAGCACGTGTGTTGTATTGGGACAGCAGAGTGGAGTCCGCTCGCTCCACCAGAGCACGTGTGTTGTATTGGGGTAGCTGAGTGGAGACCGCTGGTTCCACCAGAGCACGTGTGTTGTATTGGGGTAGCTGAGTGAAATCCACTCGTTCCACCAGAGCATGTGTGTTGTATTGGGGTAGCTGAGTGGAGACCACTCGCTCCACCAGAGCACGTGCGTTGTATTGGGGTAGCTGAGTGGAGACCGCTCGCTCCACCAGAGCACGTGTGTTGTATTGGGGTAGCTGAGTGGAGACCGCTCGCTCCACCAGAGCACGTGTGTTGTATTGGGGTAGCTGAGTGGAGACCGCTGGTTCCACCAGAGCACGTGTGTTGTATTGGGGTAGCTGAGTGGAGACCGCTCGTTCCATCAGAGCACGTGCGTTGTATTGGGGTAGCTGAGTGGAGACCGCTGGTTCCACTAGAGCACGTGCGTTGTATTGGGGTAGCTGAGTGGAGACCGCTTGCTCCACCAGAGCACGTGCGTTGTATTGGGGTAGCTGAGTGAAGTCCGCTGGTTCCACCAGAGCACGTGCCTTGTATTGGAGAGTCATCGGTGATAAACGCCTGAAGGTTTGCGCCTCACCTCGTTCGCAGTTTGGCGAGTCCATGATCATTCCATTTATGGATGTAATATCCCACGCACTTTCTTCCTGCACGTGTTGTGGTTGTTGTTGGGACGTGGTTGAGAGCGGTCCTCACTTTCGTCAGGGCTGCAGAGAGAACCGAGGGCTGTTGTTTCACCGCCTCTTCAGCGCCGTTCTTGTTTGGGACAACATCTTGTGCCCACTGGGTGACGAGTGCCCTTCTCAGAGAACCCAATAAATAAATATATAATTTGCCAATATTTGCCTGAATGCCGCTCATCCAGTCCACTATTTGCAATATCCCCGCGTGTGACGTGAGCTCTGTTTGAATTTCGCGTAGCGGATAGGTGAACAGGGACGTGTGTGTGGGCTGCTGGTGGGAGCAACTCGCCTCAGGTGAGACGAGGTGAGTGGATCTTCTCTATCTGGGGGGGCAGGTGTTCGCTTTGCCCTCACATTATGAATAGTGCGTGCGTATCTTAATTGTAAACTACTGAAAATACTTAATCTTGGTTCTTTCGGGAAAGTCATGTAGAAGGGAAATAATAATATAATAATAAATTGTAAAACAAAAAAAAATCTACGTGACTTTACCGAAAGAACCAAGAATATGAATCCCTGCAGTCACGAAAGCTTTAAATCAAAATACTGAAAATACATTAATAAAGGTGTCCAGTTTGGGAGGGTAATTGCCCCCCCCCCCCCGCAACTCTGCCCATGCTGCCACTGCTCCAAGTTATTTATTGCTCATCGGTAATCTCACCGGCCTTCTCACCAGCGTCATATAATCAGCCTGATCCACCCTCATGCACGCCATTTCATAACGGCATCGGTTGCAAATAATGGATCGCCCGTAAAAATAATAACGATGCAATCCGTAACGTGCTCAATGTTTCACAGACATAAATGACCGTGACTCAATAATCGCTCGATAGGCAGGCGAGAGAGGAGGCTGGGGGGGTTATCAACGTGTCTCTTCAAGTCGGTGTGGATTTAACGCCGCTGCTGCTGCGAATGTGCAGCGGGGATGATCGCCACGTTCCAGACGATGGGGGCTGCCACGGAGAAAACCACGCCCGGGCAGTGATGGTTGGTGGCTCTTGGTGTAGAGAGGAGGAGGAAGGTTGTGAGTGACGCTGCGGAGAGCTACAATTGATTGGAGGCAATGCAGTCGCGTGCTTCGCAGTGATCGGCACTACTGCTGCCCAGATGCACGTGAACAGAGACAGTTTTTGGTCTCAACTGAATCTCTCCCCGAGTTGGGAAGAGCTCAGCGCGTTTTGAGCTGTTCCTTATCGTGCTTCACGACCGCTGACTCTGAACCAATCTCTGCATCTACTCGCTCACCGGCAGTGGACATTGAAACGTTAAAAACTTTCATTTCGCATTCACGTTTTCTACCCGTCAGCGGCCAATTTGAATGGCATGAATAAATAAATTAAACTCTTCTGCAGGCTGCAAATGTACGATAATATTTCTGTAAATTGGCTCACACGAGGGAGTGATGCGCGCAGTCACGGCGATGTCATCTCCATGTGCACAGCACGCTCCGTGGTGGCGAGATGTTAACTACCTCGCCTGGTACGCAGGAGGTCGTGGGGTTGATCCCGACCCTGACGCCAGTTGTATAATAGGAGTTTGTGCGTTCTTCCCGTGGTCGTGTGGATTTTTCTCCAGGTCGTCCGGTTTTTCCCTCCACATTAGAAACGTGCGTTTAGAGTGTTTTGCTGCTAGAAATGTCGACGTGATACTTTATTGGGCTATTATTTGTCATGGCCAGGTGACTTCTGAAAAAGAGCTCTATAGCTCGGTGGGCCTTACCTTTCCAAAATTCGTTTGTGGCAAAAGGCGTGTGGGGCCAGGCCTATTCAGACGCACGTGGAACTGCGCGCACGCGATTGGTGGTACAAAGGGGGGCCCCCTCTCGCGGCTTCCAATGCACGCACAAATATGTGGGGTGTCCGTGTGGGTCAGGAGGCTAATGCTTGCGCCCTTACGCTGAGAGGTTCCGCCGACTCCCAGGTGCTCGCCAGAGGTAAACAGCTCCTCAGACGGAGCAAGTGAGATGAACTTTGCTCGTTCAACCCCTTTTGTCCATTTCACTGCGGGATGAGGGCATCTCTGCACGCCGCGCGGGTCATGGGAGGTTGCTTGACCATGCTTCACCGCGTTGGGCAGTGTGGGTTTGTTCAGGTGCGCAAGCGTAGACGCAGAATCACAGGAGTGCAGTGCAATGGTGATGTTTTTGATGCTCTCTACTTCTGATTACTGCTTCTTTGAGAACTGCTTGTTGTGTTTAGTTTGTTGTCCTTTCCTCGCACCTCCGATTAGCAAGGTTGACTACGTACGGTGCGAAACAAGTTCCACATAATGGGGAATATCCACCATTGGCTCAGGGCTGCAAAGAGGAGATCAGCACCGCCTCAATGCTCAGGACGCCACGGTGGCGAGATGTTAACTATCCTACCTACCATACAGGAAGTCGTGGGTTCAATTCCGACCCTGACGCCTGTACATTTTGAGTTTGCATGTTCTCCCCGTGGTCATGTGGATTTTTCTCCGGGTCCTCCGGTAATTCCCTCCACATTTATAAACATGCGCTTGGATTATTTGGATGTGATTAAATGTCCACGTGATAAGCCACTTCGTTGACCTATCATTGTGGCCAGGTCGTTTCTGGACAAAAGCCACGTAGCTCAATGGGCCTTACCTGGTAAAAAAAACATAGTTTCTCAGTTTATTTGGATTGAATCAAATGATTGACCAAAGGATAAACAACCAAGCAATGCTGTTTCACCCAACCTTAGCGCGACTCTGGTCACCCAGAACAGAGCCATGGAACGTTGCATTGCTCAATGTCCTCCTTCACAAATACGAAGGAGGCAGCACAGGAGCGATGCACCACTCTGCAACTCGTGATCCAATCAACTGGCTCAACCACCTGAATGTTAAACTACAGGCATAGGAAGACGAAGAAGAATGAGCCGAGATTCAGTGACACGCGTTTGTTACTCTTTCAAAGCACGCGTGACGTTACAATTTGCGGGCCTTGGAGATTTTCTAAGTGAGCTGCAGAGGCCTTTGTGCGAAATGTCTCAGAGCGACATCTGAGATCACCTGCAGGCTGCAGCAGAGGCGTCTCCTCAACCTCAGCCATCCATCACCCCCAGTCAGGGCAGAGAGGCAGGGCCGTCCGTGGCTCAGCGCTTCTCAGCTCGACTGTGTCGGAGCCCATTGTGCAGCATCGCGCAGTGCAGAAGCAAGGTGGGCATGCCGCTCACCCTCCCCCCGGCGCGGCCACTCGGTGTTCGCCAACGTCGATCAACGGCGACGCCACGAGAACCAACCGCTTCTCGCTCTGAAAACGTTCCGGGGCCTCGGCTCGCGATGCTCGGTGAGGCTCCGTGATGTCGTTGTACACGGAGGGGCGGCAATCCTACCATTGACTTGGTCCAAGCCTCGGATGCCAGAAGGGCATCCTGGGAGACGGGAGCTCTTGGGGAGGGACCTCTTCTTGAGCGCAGTGGTGCAGGATTTTGTGAACTTCAAACAGCGTCGAGGAATATTTCCTGATAGCACCGTTGGAGGGATGCGCCTGAACATTTGCGTAGGAGGTACAGGTGCAGTTGTGAAATTGCTCTCTGCCGTTGGCGGAAGTGACTCTACTCGAAGGAGCGCAAGAGAGGAAAAAACCCGACACTCTTCGAAGGTGCACAGATGTCTTGGGGCAGGTGGAAGCACCCACACTTTGCCCCGCCACACGCAAACTGCGGTCGCGCCAATTTATGCTGCCGCGCGGACGGAGGTGGCAACGGGGGGATTTGAGAAACTTGCCGATCGTTTCAACTGCCGCGCCGGGAGATTGAACCGAACCGAAGCGGCGACCCCCGGATTGCGAGTCCGGCGCGCGGCCAACCGTCGCCCCGCGGTGGCAGCGTCCCCCTCCCCATCGACAGCCGTGACTCGGCACCCTCTGCTCTGAGCCAAGCGTCCCAAGTGGAACACTCGCACGCTTGTGCCCGTCGGGCTGGAATGAGGCCGCATTGGGTGATTCCGCACAAACGCGCACGCTGAGAGGTGTTTTCCCCGAGTCTGTCATCTAAAGTCATAAAAGTAAATGGGGGAAATAAAAATCACTTGACGTGATTTGTGCCACCAGCCACACGGCCTTTCCTGTGTGCCCATACACATTTATAGAACACCGGTTGCCTGATGCCAACCTTGCAGCTACCAACACATTTCCAGAGTTAAGTAATGATCTTAACGCGTAGTTCGCTGCAGCCAATGCTACGATTCATTACCGTATTTTTGGGCGAGGCCACGTAATGGTCTGGCCGAATTTGTGTCGATGAGAACCCTCCAGCAGCCGACACAATCAAACGAATGACTTGGCCACGTGCAGAAGCATTCAACGATGCGTCAGTTACGATTGTTTCAGCTCGCTCAACGGAAAGGCGAAGAACGATTTTCGCAACCGAAGTTTGGCGAATGAGGTCAGGGATGTTTCGTTTGAACACAACACATTCTCCAGAAGTCAGGACAAGGTCCAGGAAATCAGAAGTTAGAAAGTAACTCTCATTGATCCGAACGAAGAAGCGGAAAATACAAGACTCTTTCTCCTGTGGGCCACTGCAAGCTTCGAACACCACGTACATTTCCACTACCCCAAATGAACATTTGAAGGTGGTGGGTGAATTGTGCTTGAGTGGATGAGTGAGTGGGTGGGTAAGTGGATGAGTAGGTGGATAAGTGGGTGAGAAAGTGGGTGGGTAAGTGGGTGGGTGTAGTGAGTGGGCGGGTGAGTGGGTGACTGTGTGAGTGGGTCAGTGGGCGGGTGTAGTGAGTGGGCGGGTGAGTGGGTGACTGTGTGAGTGGGTCAGTGGGTGGGTGTAGTGAGTGGGCGGGTGAGTGGGTGACTGTGTGAGTGGGTCAGTGGGTGGGTGGGTGTATATCTGCACATTCACCCACACCCTCAGACAAAGCAACTGAATGGCTCAATCACGACAGAACTGAATCTCCAACATCTCGCTCTTCATTGGCCATAATAAATCATCATCGTTGCCCCAAATTGGGTGCAGCAGCTCAGGAGCACTCACCTGCACTCAGAGACAAAGGAGGCACTGCACACTCCGCACTGGAAGCCTCCCGGCTGCTCCCCGGGCAGAACGGCTTTCTCCATGCACTGCAGCACACTGCCACGACACACAGCAGCCATGCACTGTGTTAGTCATGCGCTCCCACCCCCTCCCCCACCCCCGAGACATTTGGATACATCTGAAAACAAAATACAGGCCTGCGTATGAATATTGCACTGGTCAGCAAAAACAAAAAAAATTCTGGCCTGGACTTTTGCAGCTAATTTCAGGGTGCTGATTCCAAATCTGATCACAGATTTGCTCTATGACATCATTTGTATGCTATCGGCATACCCCATTTTCATTGATTTTACCCGAAATTAACTCTGTCACTTATGATTGCAAGTTGTTGCGAGTCAGTGACTGCTTTAGTGCTAAAATATGGTGCTGTATTTTTAGGACAGTGTGTTTATAATATCATTTTATGTAGATATCCACATTTATTAAATATTTTTTCTTCTGCAGTTTTTATTGAAAATGCAATATTTGAAATCTCAAAAACCTGATGTGATAGACAAAAACTGATGCCAGAGTTGGAATCAGCACCCCAAAATTACCTTGAAACCGTTGGAATACCTTATGCTAGAAAAAGTGTGTTGACCAGTGTTGTAGGACGATCGCAAATAAATGTGTTGTTTTGGAGCAATCCGGAATCAATCAGAGGAAAGGTCACTTTTCACGACGTCACGCCCGTGTTGTTCCCAGCAAAAGGTGACCGCCGTGTGACATCGGGCGGACGTCGCTTTGGTCATCACGAAGACATGATGAATTCATACATCGTCATTACGTAATGTAAATTATCTAAACATCCCCTAAACATCCTGGCTGAACGTCACAGAAATATTGCATGCGTTCAATCTTCACGTGCATGCCGTCACATTTATTTCAGTGGTCTGGTGATGCTACGAAGCACTGGAGCTTCTAATACCAAAATCAAGCGCTCCGTCGTGTATACCCGGGGCTTATTATCTCACTCGGTAGTTTCCGGAGACGACGCTCGGCTGGCTTGGAGCAGGGACTATAGGCGTAAGGCACTCCCACTAGAGTACAAAGTCACTCCTTTTCATAGTAATATTTTTTTATTATTTAACCCTCAACCTTGATTTGAAGCTTTCGTGACTGCTGGAATCCATACTCTTTGGTTCTTTCGGTAAAGTTACGTAGGTAGAAATAACAATAATAGATCACTTAACCCTATTTTCATTCCTATAATCCGAGAGCAAAACAAGACAGGATGGAACGAGTGTTCCGGACCGCTGTGGCTGAAACCGAGCGCTTCGTGTGTGCACACAGGCAGCTCGTATGTGTGGTCGGTGGAGGGTGGTTAAGGAGGCAGGGGGAAAAAAAAGGGCCCAGGCCTGCTTCTGACATCGCTCGCCACTGATGTTCGACGTGGCCGGGAATTGAACTCGGGTCCGCCGGGTTCACAACACAACGCTCTCACTGTAAGCCGCTCCACCCCAATGTGCACGTCTGTCCGTTCGTTTGATTTATTTCACCAGGCGAGATCTCCGGAGACCAGGATCGTCTCATTGGCAAGAGAGACGTGGGTATCTGTTCTTTAATAATTTAATCACAACACAACACTTTACACGCGGTTTGCATTCTATTCATGCACCCCTGCATTTTGCTTGCGGGATTTATTTGAGCGTACTTTTGATTATAGGCAATTTCCCATTTTTCTATATTAAGTTACGTTTTTTTTATTTGCTCTAAATGTTTTCCATTATTTACCGACAAAGGTTTGGCGGGGGTCAGGCTTTCCCCTCGTCCGTAATGTCGCCATTTCTCAAAAGGGAAACATGTCAGCCCTAATTTGCCGTTAAATTCTGAGAGCGCAGTTAGTACAATTTAGCAAAATGCTGCGTGGCTGATTTGATTTTCTCTTCCTCCGGGCAGCATTAGTGATCCATCTTCCGAGAGTAACGGACGAAAAAAAAGAGATGAATTCTTAAAACCAATTGTGCTGGCTTTTCCTGAAAAGTGGGGCCTGTTTGCCGTCACAATTAGATGGTCTTTTTATTTTTTCCTCTTGTATGCTTTACCTTACTTAGTGGCGCTGAGCCTTAGCCCTTGTAAAACGAGAGCACTTGTCTTTTCAAGCAAAACTCAAGTTCTGTTTTATGGCATGCAACCAATGATTCATCGCAGGATCGTGATACGTGGCGATGTCTTGGGAAGGCCTTCATCATAAGTGGATTCTATTCCATTTTTGCGAATGATGTCAATACGTTCAGGCGCTAAATGCCAGGTCTGCGAGCCACTGCGAGAGGGCTTCAGGAGCGAGTTCGTGTAGTTTTATTATTCCTCCGTTGAAGTAGCGCACACTCCAGCGGTTTACTATGTGGTCCATCGGAGTGGATTGACCAAAGCTGATGATTATGCTAACAAATAAACAAATAACTTCGTACTAAACATACATGCATGCATACCTAACGCTTAATCACTCCAATAGCTCATAATGCAATGTTCTTTAATTGCCCATTACAAATTATGTTGAGGTTAAACAATGATTAAAGGGTTTAACACGGAGAATGTTGAAACAATTATTCAGGGGACTGTGTAGGTTTATCGTGGTTGTGTGATGCGGACCCTCCAATGTGTTTTCGGGTTGCACCGTGTATTTTCCAGCACGAGGTCTGACGTTGCGCTCCAAGTGCTGGGAGCTTTATCAGGAACTAAGCATTCTGCTCCTTGGAGAAGCTCCCAGCGTGTGGAGCAAAACAAATGGATATCATGCCAAACAATGCACAGCTGACTCCACAAATACATCGGAATATTGTATTCACGGGCGCAGCTTTTCTTCACAGAGGTTCAATTTGTTGACAATATGCCAGTGATGCACTTATCATCAAAACGAGATGATTAATCAGTTCGGAAACATTTTAAGATAATAATCAGCAATACGTGATAAGTATCAGAGACCACTTTACAAGTCTCCTGTGAGTCAGACTCACCGAGAAAGAGAGGACTTCCCTCAGGGCAGTCCCACAACTTCCTCGCATACATTTCGGAAACTAGAAAAGGTTGCGAGTAATCAGGAGTGTAACTCATTAAGTGGACTTTTTGCTTGAGCACAGTACATCAACCAATTAGGAGTTCTGTAGTTCAAACTAAAATCATTAATCCGCCTTTTAGCTTGGGCATAGTACGTCAACCAATTAGGAATTCTGTAATTCAAACAGAAATCATTAATACACCATTCCTTCATGAGGTGGGAAATGCTGATGAAATGCCAGGAGTGGGGCCTATTGAGATAAACCCACCTCTCTCTCATCCACACTGGGATGGTAATTGTGCATTCATTTTTATGTATGTGTCAGAAAGTTGACTTATTCCATAAATAAGGCATATTTTCCAAAATTACACTTAATTACCTTCTAAATTACAACCCACATGTATTATTAGGATCATTTAGAAAATGTCACTGTGAAATTACCTAATTTGTTCAACTACCCCAGAGTGCCCTTTTGCACATGCACACAAAGACAAAGACCTCCCGTGTAGCCTTCACAGACTTTTGGGGCAAGTGCTGTGAGCGACCACCTATGAAGTCCTGCACGGCACACCACGGGGTGGGTGGCTAGCACCACGCCCGACCGCCTTTGTTTCCCTAGTGATGATGTTTATACATCACACCAGGTACACATATGAGGAGGCTGAGTCGACCTAGGGGAGGCCCAGGATCAGTTCAGATAATCGTCACCGGTGTTGGACGTGAGCGGGAATCGAACTCGAGTTGCCGAATTCGTAGCGCAGTGTGCTAACAGCTACCCTACCGCTCCCCACGCACACTCACAATACAAGATCAAGATGCCATCAGGGGCCTAAGCCACCACCGCACCTCACCAACGTTTTCTACTCTCCGCCAGATGCCGCAGCTGCTGCTGCTGCAGGTAGACACACAGCGACCTCCACACCCTGCCCCGACAGTCTCCCACCGTCCGCTCTGAGCTCTTTCCCTCGGTCGCCACACTCGTGGACACAATAAGAACATGGCATCACAATATCGCTGTGGGTGGCTTTCAAACATGACGCAGCGCACAATGACCACGATAATCGTCACCGGTGTTGGGAGTGAGCGGGAATCGAACTCGGGTCGCCGGCGTTCATTGCGCAGCGCGCTAACCGCGACACTACCGCTCACACACGTGCGCACAGGCGAATATCGCTGGTTGCAGAACAGCTCGGCATTGCGGATAACTCTGGTCACGCGAAGAAGCACCCCGAGGTTCAGAGCTCTCTGCAGAAGTCTGCCAAAACCCTTGATCGCGCGAGCATTTGTGTCGAGGCAAAATCTTTCACTGATCCGAACGATGGCCTGCAGAATCTGACAATTACTAGTTTGACCTGGGAGTGCACGGCACTGATGGGATTTCATGCTGGCCGCGGTCCAAGGGGGGAGGGAGAGAGAAATGAGGTGGGGCGGGAGCACGGGGCAGGCGGGGGGGGGGCAGAGAAGGCGGCGCTCTCAACTGAGTGTGGCGAATGTTTGTGCAATGCAAGACTGGAAGAAAAGGGGCTTTTTGGAGGCTTGGGAATAGAGCTGAGCGGCGAGCCTTAGGCCAGCAAGGAAGGAGAGGCTCATGCAATGGGGGGGGGGGGGGGGTGGATGAGGAGAATGAAATAAATAAAAGAACAAAAACAAAACTTGTCAGCTATAAAAAGCAGACGCTTTCCTGCAATAAATTTCCATTCTCCCGTTGCAACGCTCCGACGGGAACCGTGGTATTTTGCGGGGGGTTGCTCCGTTCTCTCACCAAATGTACTCACGAAACAAGATATCCCACGTGGACACAGCCGCACTATTGGTGGCTGCCTGAGCCACTATTTGTATGGATATGAAATTATTTCCCGTGTTCATTCTTCATTTTCGCCCCCTCTCAATTTCATTTCTCACTCTAACCTTCTCTCCCTTATCCCCGTCTCTCTCTCTCTCTCTAAAAAACAACGGCCACACGCATGCCCTTATACTAAGAGAATGGGGGAAATATAGAAGACTTCCACAGTTCCTACATTTGTCTTCGTGCCGCGCTGGTATGCCTCAGGTGCTGGGC